GAGAGAGCGCGCGAGACGGGATGAGTGGGAGAAAGAGAGAGCGGGCGAGCGGGCGGGCGGGCGCGCGACGCACCTCTGGACCGCAAACATCGATGCCGATTTCGACCAGATCGGAGCGAATGATGAATTCGCCATGATCTTGATGTTCCTGAGCCAGCAGCACTTCAGCTGGAATGCGAGTCGTTGGGGAAGATGAGAGGGGAGAAGCGGGTGGATCGTAGTGCAGCAGGCGATCGCAAGAGCTGAGCGTGTGCACTGCGGCGTGCGGTGGTCTGGTGGCGGGGGGAAGAAGAGAGAGAGAGAGAGGGAGGAGGTGAGGCGGTGTCCCATGCTGGCTGTAAGGCGATCGCGCGGACGCACACAGCCGCGCGCGCACACCCGCGCACACCCGCGCGCACACGCACCTGATGCTGCTAGCGTGACCGACTTGAGCAGCGCAGATGGTCATGCTGGCATCCTTGTCCCGCTTCCTCCTCTGCCTGTGCATCTCCACCACCGATTGCAGGTGGATGGATGTGAGGGCGTGGGGTTGGAGCAGCAAGAAATCGCTCCTGACAATGCCGTGCGCATCCACTTCCCTCATCACATCGCCCACACTGCCGGCTGTCGGTGCGGCTAGGACATGGACGTGCAAGCCTTTGGGTGGTGGATGTTGTTGCAGCCAGCGTCGAAGGGTGTTGGCATGAGCGCGGGAGATGATGTGCACCTGCTCCGCACCTGCCTTGTGACAGCTTGCCAGGTGCAGCTGCAGCAGCGGCACGCCCAACACGGGAAGCAGCAAGGGACAAGCAGGTCGATGATGGGTGCGAGACACTTCCAATGGGGAAAAGGCGCGGCAGAAGGTGTCTGCGATGAGGATGGCGCACAGAGGTTCCTCTTGAGCTCCTTCGCGGTCTGCTGCTCCCGCCTGCGACTGCGACTGCGACTGCGGCTTTGTCTTTGTCTTCTTTGGCGGCATGCTGTGGTGGCGCCTCCTCTTGGGTGGGGTGGGGTGGGTGTCAAGGGCCAAAGGAAAGGGGGAGCCCCAATTGCAGCGAATGGCGAATCGCATCCAGTCAGAGTGTTGTATAGAGAGATATTGGTGCATGGGTGCGTACACGCCTATTCACGTGACTGTCCATTCCGCGCGAGAAAAGTCAGAAAACTCACGAGGGCCACTCAGACTCTTGACTGCACTCGCACGCTCGCACGCGCACGCATCGCGCGCGGGCAATCAATCAACAACGCGCTTCTCACGCGCGTCGCGAGGTCCCCCGCGGCGCAGGGCTGCACTCGCGTCACCAGTCAGTCACGAGTCCCAGTCGAGTGGCCAAGCCAACTCTCGCCCATCATCATCGCCACCACCACCACCACCACGACGCTCATATCCCGTCAAGCTTCCAAGCAGTGGCCACCTTTGCATCTCCTTCCTCAAATCTAACGGTCCCGACATGCCTTCTGCCGCACAAGCGTCCACATCGGCCTCCCATTCCGCCTCGAAGCGGGCCAGGTACGATCCGGAACAGTCGGCTCAGGAGAAGCGTCACGTCAGAAAGGTGTACAGGGACCTCATCAGCGCCACAGAAGGTCAGTCTGCGTCCCACATCAGATCAACGCAACGCCCGATTGACACTTGCATACATGCTCTTCCCCCCGCGCACACAACACAGTAAAGCGCACAAACATAGCAGAAGCCAGCGCCAAGGATCTCTCCAGTCTCGTCCTGCAAGGCAACGAAGCGTACGCCAATGGTCAGTGGTGTCACGCTGCTGGTGCTGCTGCCCGCCAAATCATACGCCGACCGTCTCTTCCCTCCCCCCAACGGCAGTGCGAGCACCCACAGAAGGAGTGCTAGACTCTTGCTTTCTTTTGAACGCGTCCGAGATGGGAGCACAGATGGCCAAAAACATCAAGATGGCTTCGGGCGCATTCGACACTGAAGAGTACCTCGCACGCGTGATCAAGTTCATCGCTGGCAGTGCGCGTGCCAGGCGTGCCGCTTCCGCTGAAAGCGATGTGCGAAGCGATGAACAGGAGGAGGAGGAGGAGGAGGATGTGCATGCATGGCATTGGGATAGATTGGGTCAACTGGCTGCCAGATACTCCAGGAGAGCACCTACGATCGATTGTCTGTGAGTGCCGAGGTTAGGCGTGCGGGATGCCTATGCCTCCAGGCTAAATCGAGAGCACGCGCGCGCGCGCGCGCAGACTCGGTCCATTGGAGACCTCGCAAAAGGAGCGCAAGGGGATCAAGAGGGCTCGCATCGACAAGTCTGGCCCTATGGTCGCTCCACAAGAGGTGAGTGGCATGAAGCGCAGCTTCGGTCAAGTATTTGCTTACACGCAGGCTCACGCACACGTACACCCCAGCTCAAGGAGTCTGACATTCAACAATCCGAGACCGAGACTACGCGCATGGTGCGAGAAGTTGCAGACGTTTTGGAGCAGGTAGGCGGTGCGCCCGGATGTCACCTGTTCAAATTCGTGCTGGACCCGAAAAGTTTCAGCAACTCGGTCGAGAATCTGTTTTACGTCAGCTTTCTCATACGCGACGGCAAGGCGTCGCTGGAGGATGATGAAGAGACGGGGGAGCCGATTTTGAGTGAGTGAGCGGGCGGGCGAGCGGGCGAGCAGTCCGCTTGGTAGCCCGCGCACCGAGCATCCGCTTCGTATCCCCCGCCTCGCGCACACAGTCAGCTGACAATGTTGCTCCATCCCTGCAGTGGCTGTGAACGAGCCTACAGAGGAAGACTACGCGCAGGGACTGACTCGCAGACAATTGGTGTTGGAGCTGACCATGCCAGTGTGGGAGGAATTGATCGAATTGTACGACATTAAAGAGTCGATCATTCCCACGCGAAAAGAAACAACGACAGCGTTGCGACCTGGCGGGTGGTACGCATAGGCGTGCGTGCGTGCGTGCGCGCACGGCATTCGTCTCGGGATTGCCATCAAGCCTTGAGCATGTCGTGGCCTGACATGGCATTTGCCGTGTGAGTCAGAGTGTGATGCTTGGTAGCGCGACGCTTGCGCAAAACGACTTACCCCAGTTTGCGAGGCTCTTGTAGGATTTCGTCTGTTTCAGCTCGTCTTCTGACTTGCGGTCCTTGAGAGGGCCTTCCTCTGTGCGCGCGCAACAAGGTGGAAAAGAGAGCGTGAGCGAGAGCGTCATGCGTGCGCGTGTCCACACACGACGGGGAATGCTTGGGCGGCGTGGCAAGACGCACGAGCGAGATGCCTCTTGCAGTAAGCAGCGACCTTTCTCATGTGCTGCAGATCCTCTTGCGTATACTTGTCCTGCTGCTTTTTGGGATTGCGCTTCAAAATGTCGACAATCTTGCGACCAGATTCGTGACCCACGGATTCGCCTTGTCCCGCATCGCCCCAACCGCTCTCTTGCGATTCGGAAGAGGAGAGCCACTTTTGCAGTTCGGCAACGGTCATGTTGACATACTCGTTGAACTCGCAAACGACATCGGCGTCGGATTTGCCCATCTTGAGGGAGCGTGTGGTGGCGAGCGTGGGTGTGCGCGTGCGCGTGCGCGTGAGCGTGAGCGTGGGTGTGGATGTGAGCGCGCGTATGCGTGCTGCCGTTTCTATCCCGTCCTGATGGCTGCCGAGCGAGTAAAGGTGTGGTGGTGCGCGCCAAGGAGCGTTTGGAAGCAGCGAGGGAGCGAAACATGAACGCGGAGGGCGGGGGGAGGATGTGATGGCGAGCAGGACGACAGGCGCGGATACACGCACACACGCACGCACGCACGCACGCACGCACGCACGCACGCAC